TAAAGGGCGGCAAGCGGAACAGCATGCTAACAATTGACAGTGTTCAGGCGCGCCATGCTGGCAGATACAGCTGTCGAGCTAAGAATCATGCAGCTGCCGTTAACTATACGACCGAGCTTATTGTGAATGGTATTTGCACCATGAGTAGTCGTAGTCTATCTAGAATTATTTTATATAGCTATCATTTTGTTCCTTCAATTCTTTAGTTTGTAACTCCCGCCCCATAAAGCGAAAGGCCTTAACTCTTATCTAGTTCTAGTGTATATTGTAGTAATCTGTATTTGACTTCTTTAATAGTTGCACCAAAAATAGCGCATTTTGATTTCGGCGAAGCGCCCGTCAATTTCGAGGATTCCGTTTCGGTGAATTGTCTGGTTAGCTCGGGTGATCTGCCGCTCGACATCGAGTGGCACTTCAATGATTATCCCATCAATCACTATTCGGGTATTTCGACATCCAAAATGGGCAAGCGTCTGAGCGTGCTGATGATCGATGCGGTCAATGCACGTCACGTCGGCAACTACACGTGCAAGGCTAGAAATCTGTGGGCCTCCTCGGTCTATACGGCCCAGCTCTTTGTCAATGGTACAGCGAGATTTGTACAGCACATGAATGTCAATTTTATTTTATTGGTATTTCTTTTATAATTTACACCAATGCAATTGTAAATCACACAAAACAACACAGAATATGCATGTTTGCTTTTGGCTTGGTAAATTTCTCGCTTCAATCAAATGACTTAGGCAGCGAACTTGGGGGTACAACGAACTCTTGACCAGATTTTATATTCCACTGCATTACCTTGATCCTATTTAAAAGTGCCGCCGCATATAACGCCCTTCGAGTTTGGAAATGAGCCAGCGAACTTCGGCGACTCGGTGACCGTGCAGTGCACCATCTCCAAAGGGGATCTGCCCGTGGATATCTACTGGCTGTTTAATGACTATGCCATCAACGAGTACCACGGCGTGACCAGTTCGAAAATAGGCAAAAAAGTCAACGTCTTGACCATCGACTCGGTGAATGGCAACAATGCTGGCAACTACACATGCCGGGCTCGCAACAGTGCCCAGACCGTGGAGTATACCGCTGCGCTGATAGTGAACGGTTGGGCAGCTCCTAAGCAACTGAATCTCAATTTGTTGTAGTTTTGTTTAGTTTCTGTAGTTGGTCTTAATTTGTATATTCTGTTATCTGTTTCTTATGCTTTCTGTTATACGCATACCACCAAAAGTACTACCCCAAATAACGCCCTTTGCCACGAGTGCTCAGCCCACGCATCTGGGCCAGTATATAACCTATCAGTGCACCCTAACCGAAGGCGATTTGCCCCTGAACATACGCTGGACATTTAACAAGCAGCCGCTCTTCAATGACGATGATCAGGACATACTCATTGCCAAAATGGGCAGGCGCAGCAGCGTCTTGACCATCGAGAGTGTGTCGGCCAAGCATGCCGGGAACTACAGTTGCCATGGCGAAAATGCCGCCGGCAAGGTCTCCTACAGCACCCAGCTGAAGGTCATAGGTGCAGCGACGACATTTCATATTCATGCACATATTTTTGGTTGCTTCAAGAAGATTTTTGCAAACCGTTTTCATTTATGTTTCTGCACTGTTTTATTTCGATTCTTTCCCATTCATAAATTTAGTTCTGCCTCGCATCACACCCTTTGCATTTGAAGAGGGCCCCGCTCAGGTGGGCCAGTACCTAACGCTGCACTGCTCTGTGCCGCTGGGCGATCTGCCCATGCAGATCGAGTGGACGCTGAACGGCCAATCGATCGGCGAGAGGCTGGGCATCAGCACCCTAGCCGTGGGCAGCCGCAGCAGCGTCCTGACCATTGATTCCGTTGAGGCGCCACACGCTGGCAATTTCACATGCCAAGCCAAGAACTTGGCTGGCCAGCAGCGCTTCACCACGCTGCTCAACGTCTACGGTTAGATGCATCTAAGAAAACATACACAAGATTAGTTATATGAGCCACTAATCCGTCCCTTTGTAGTTTGTTGATACTAATCAAATGCGTCTGCGCTCTTCAGGCTGCATGTCTATGTCTTTGTCTCTCTTTCTGTCTCCCTTGCTCTATATCTCTGTCTCACAGACGTGGCTAGTCGCACCGCAAAGGCTTGCATGCACAAATTAACAAAAGAAACTACATACGTAACGTTGCAGCACCTTCTCGAGCTTCATTTGAGAATTCATTCGATGCTGTGCACACTTCGTGTTAGGTCATTCAGATTTGTCTGATTTGTCTGCTGCTTTAGGTTTTCCAGTCTCATCAAAATTTTTAGTTTATTTTATTTTTATTTTCCTATTTTTTTTTTTTTTGCTTCTAAGTGCCACCAAAACTGTCGCCACTTCCGCTCAATTCGCCGCTTTATGTGGGCGACTACTATCAACTGTCCTGTGCCGTGCTGCACGGAGATGCGCCCTTCAATATTACCTGGTACTACAATGGGCGTCCGGCCGGGGAGCTGCCGGGCGTCAGCATTTTAATGCACAGCCGGCGCAGCAGCTCGCTGAGTGTTGAGAGCGTGCAGGGCATCCATACGGGCACCTACACGTGCATGGGCGCCAATGGGGCCGGCTACACGACCGTCGAGTCGACTCTCAGTGTCAAGGGTTTGTTTACTGTGTACAGCATTATGTCTTGGCCTGGTAGTTGTAGCTCCAGCAGCAACTGTACATTTTGCCCACTCTCAATCTCTCTGACTTTCTCTCACTCTCTCTGTCTCTCTCACCTGTGTGTCTCTCTGTGTGTGTTTGCCCTGGTGTCGGTTTGCATAAGCACAAATTTGTAAAATAACACTTATTCATGCACGGCTTTTGTGTGTCGCCCCCCTCAACTTCAACCGCTTAGAGCTGCCTCAAATCGAACAGTTCCATTTCAATGCCAACGGCGTCAACGGCGGCCAAGCGGTGCGTGTCATGTGCATGGTCATCTCCGGAGATCTGCCCATTGACATCTTCTGGCTGAAAGACGGACAGCCGCTTCTACGTTCCATTTACCACAAGATCGATGAGTACACGCTCATCCTATCACTGCGCCAAACCGCCATCAGCGACTCGGGCAACTATACGTGCGTGGCCAGCAATGCGGCGGGCCTAGCCAGCCGCTGGTCTCTACTGAAAGTCAAGGGTATTCAAACCAGCTCCGATTAGCCCTTTAATGTATCATTTGTAAATAGTTTTTTTTTTTTTAAGTATATTTTGTGCCCGAAAAAATTAACTGAAATCAAAAGACTTAGGCAACGAACTTGACGATAGATATTAAAGTTTCTAGTTTTTAGGCAGTTGAATTTCTTATTTATTTTGAGCTTACATAAAATGTTAATTGTTGAATTGTCAACATTGAAAATTGCCTAAACTTGATTGCCTTTCCAACTGGCACTGCTCCACTCGTAACGCAATCTTCAGAGCCTCCACTGCTGGCCGCTCTGTCGCTTTCCACGTCCGTTTGCGATGTCAACGACTATGTGCAGCTGACGTGCATTGCCATTAGAGGTGCCACGCCCATTCGGTTCGAGTGGCAGCTCAATGGGCGGGCATTGCACGACGACGACGATGGCGATGCGGACGTCACACAGGCATCGGTGGGCGAGCACTCGAGTCTGCTGTTGATCAACAAGGCGCAGGCTAGCCATGCAGGCAACTACAGCTGTTCGGCCAGCAATCATGTGGGCGTGGCGCAGAGACTGGCCATGCTGACTGTCAATGGTAAATTGGAATGATATAGTCGCAAGCTGAAAACGATTTTGCCTTTCTCAATTTTCTCATCAGCTAAACAAGATTTTTCTCCAGATAGGCCAAAAACTATGCAACGAATCGATTGAGGTCTATCGACAAAGTTTTCCAATCCAATTAGCCACTGTATATAAGAACTTTTACTGAACACTCCTTATAAATATATAAGTAAAGAAACCCCTTTTTCTTGGTTTAAGTCAAAGATGCAACGTTAGCTCCGACCTAATCTTATCGCACCCGAATCGATTCTTATCCAAACAGCTCAGATTCGCAAAACATTATAACCAACAGCACACACACACTCGCACACATATACAAACAAACATATACGCACATACGTATACGCACTCAATTAATAGATACTTTTGAAAGGACTCACAGCTTGATACTTGCCTGAGCTTTCTGTACGATACACGAACACAAAATATGTTTTGATTTCGATTTTCGATTGAGTTTTGTAAATTACAATTTGAAACAGGCTCATGCTCCAACACCGAATAAACTGCAAACAACAATAACTACAATAGAAACTAATCGCATATTAACCGCTTCTAATTGTCTACCTAATCTCATAATATCATATGTGCCCACTGTGATGCCAGAATCTGTTCGCTTCCATAACAGCTAAAAAGAAACAGCGAAACACAAGACCCTGCTACGTCCCCACCGAAAATCATCCAGCCTCAACCCTCTATATCCCCAACATTTATTACTTTCATTTCTATTAAAACATATCATTTACTTAGTCCGTAAGGCACAAAGCGAAGTCAATGCGAATTGAGGAAAAAACTTCAATGAAAATATACAAAAAATCTGACTTCGCTTTGCACAAATTGCATGTTTTTTAACTTTCTGTTAATTACTAATTATTTCGTTAAAATTCCCCTTTTGGTTGTCCCTTAATATTTTTGTTAATTAATTGTGCTAATATCTTTGGTTGTAGTTTGGCTTTTTAGTTACAGTAAACTTAAGTCAAAGGTGGAAACATTTTGCTACAAAATTATTAAATTTAAATAAATGAAAGCTTAAAATGATCTCTAATTACTTGTGAATATTATACAAATGTTTCCACTGAGTTGAAATTGAAATGTTCAAAAAATATATTTAAAATATTCAAAGCATTTCGATTTCAACAAAGTCCGTCCATCCGCTTAAACTTACTACTTGCCGCATGCTAACTGTTTCTTAATAAGAAACCCTAAACAAATTTACTAATATATTATTATTTCTACAACAACAACAACAACAACAGTGCCACCCAGATGGATACTCGAGCCAACAGACAAAGCCTTTGCCCAGGGCTCCGATGCCAAGGTTGAATGCAAAGCCGACGGTTTCCCCAAGCCCCAGGTTACATGGAAGAAGGCAGTTGGTAAGCTGCGCACTAAATAGCGTAAAGCTCATTTATAATAATCTAATTATAACATGCATCAGGCGACACACCCGGCGAGTACAAGGATCTCAAGAAGAGCGACAACATTCGCGTAGAGGAAGGCACTTTGCACATTGACAACATTCAGAAGACCAACGAGGGCTACTATCTGTGCGAGGCCATCAATGGCATTGGTTCGGGCCTTTCGGCTGTTATTATGGTCAGTGTTCAGGCGCCACCAGAGTTCACAGAGAAGCTGCGCAATCAGACCGCGCGTCGCGGCGAACCAGCTGTGCTGCAGTGCGAGGCGAAGGGCGAGAAGCCCATTGGCATTTTGTGGAACATGAACAACATGCGCCTGGACCCCAAGAACGACAATCGCTACACCATTCGCGAGGAAATACTCTCTGCTGGCGTTATGTCTAGTCTCTCCATCAAACGCACCGAACGCTCTGACTCGGCTCTATTCACTTGCGTGGCCACCAATGCCTTCGGCTCGGACGATGCTAGCATAAATATGATTGTGCAGGAGGTGCCTGAAATGCCATACGCTTTGAAGGTGCTGGATAAGTCTGGTCGCTCCGTTCAGCTGAGTTGGGCACAACCCTACGACGGCAACTCTCCACTGAATCGCTATATCATTGAGTTCAAGCGCTCGCGTGCCTCCTGGGATGAGATCGATCGCGTCATGGTGCCCGGCCATACCACCGAAGCACAAGTACAGAAACTGAGTCCTGCCACCACCTACAATATTCGCATCGTGGCCGAGAATGAAATCGGCTCCTCGCAATCGTCGGAGGCTGTCACCATCATCACCGCCGAGGAGGCACCCTCGGGCAAGCCACAGAACATCAAAGTCGATCCCGTGAATCAGACAACGCTGCGCGTCATGTGGAAGCCACCAGCACGCTCCGACTGGAACGGCGAGATACTGGGCTACTATGTCGGCTACAAGCTATCCAACACCAACTCGTCCTACATCTTTGAGACCATCAATTTCATCACCGAGGAGGGCAAAGAACACAATTTGGAACTGAACAATCTGCGCGTCTACACTCAGTACTCGGTGGTGATTCAGGCCTTCAATAAGATCGGCGCTGGTCCATTGAGCGATGAGGAGAAACAATTCACTGCCGAAGGCACGCCCAGCCAGCCACCCAGCGACACTGCCTGCACGACTCTGACCTCGCAAACCATTCGCGTCAGCTGGGTGAGCCCGCCACTCGAGTCGGCCAATGGCGTCATTAAGACCTACAAAGTTGTCTATGCGCCCAGCGACGAGTGGTATGGTAAGTATAGGTTTGCTGCCTTTTGACTAAGCAATCCCTAACAACGAACGCCTATTGCAGATGAGACCAAACGCCACTACAAGAAGACTGCCTCCTCCGACACCGTGCTCCATGGCCTGAAGAAATACACCAACTATACCATGCAAGTTTTGGCCACCACAGCTGGAGGCGATGGTGTTCGCAGCGTGCCCATTCACTGCCAGACCGAACCTGATGGTAAGCCACATTCCAAAGCTCTATCAAAGCTCAGCTCTCATGCCCACCTTCTTTTCGTTATGCAGTTCCTGAAGCACCCACCGATGTGAAGGCTCTGGTTATGGGCAATGCCGCCATTTTGGTGTCCTGGCGCCCACCAGCACAGCCCAATGGCATTATCATCCAATACACTGTCTACTCGAAGGCTGAAGGCGCCGAGACCGAAACGAAGACCCAAAAGGTGCCACACTATCAAATGAGCTTCGAGGCCAGCGAACTGGAGAAGAACAAGCCGTACGAATTCTGGGTCACTGCCAGCACCACCATTGGCGAGGGCCAGCAATCCAAGAGCATTGTGGCCATGCCCAGCGACCAGGTGCCCGCCAAAATCGCATCATTCGACGACACTTTCACTGCCACCTACAAGGAAGACGCTAAGATGCCTTGCCAAGCCGTTGGAGCACCGCAGCCCGAGATTACCTGGAAGATTAAGGGTGTCGACTTCAGTGCCAACGAGCGCATGCGTCTGCTGCCCGATGGCTCATTGTTGATCAAGTCCGTGAACCGTCAGGATGCCGGCGACTATTCGTGCCATGCCGAAAACTCTATTGCCAAGGACTCAATTACCCATAAGCTGATCGTCCTGGCACCACCTCAGTCACCACATGTTACGCTCTCGGCCACCACCACCGATGCACTGACCGTTCGATTGAAGCCTCATGAGGGAGACACTGCACCACTGCACGGCTACACCTTGCACTACAAGCCAGGTTTGCGGAGAGATGATAAAGCTACCAGATCTCAATTTTTTCACTGCTTTTCATATTCACAGAGTTCGGCGAGTGGGAGACAGCTGAGGTCTCCGTGGAATCACAGAAACACAACATTGAGAATCTGCTTTGCGGCTCACGCTATCAGGTCTATGCCACTGGCTTTAATAAGTGAGTTATAATAAGAGTTAACTGAGCATAGCTAACGCATTCGCTTTCGTCTCTTTAGTATTGGCGCCGGCGAAGCTTCCGACATTTTGAACACGCGCACCAAGGGCCAGAAGCCCAAGCTGCCAGAGAAACCACGATTCATTGAAGTCTCATCCAACTCGGTTTCACTGCACTTCAAGGCCTGGAAGGATGGAGGTTGCCCCATGTCTCACTTTGTTGTAGAGAGCAAGAAACGGTATCTGCTTGAGTAGAGCTAAGATTCGCTTCCACAGCCAGCTAACCTCGAGTTCTTTCTCTTTAGTGATCAACTTGAATGGAATCAAATCTCGAATAATGTTAAGCCTGACAATAACTACGTTGTGCTCGATCTGGAGCCCGCCACCTGGTACAATCTACGCATCACTGCCCACAACTCGGCTGGCTTCACTGTCGCCGAATATGATTTCGCCACACTCACTGTGACCGGAGGTATTTATGATCTGTTTTCCGATTCGAATGTTTCACATTGCTTTTGTACATAGAAAACTACGTTGACAATGCTGTTGGACGTGCCGTACCGAACCCAACAGCATTGTCCATATACAAATAACAATCTAGGCATAAACACTTTCCCTGAGTTGTAAATGTTTTTTTTCTCCTTCACCAAAAACTGAAAATGAGCAAATTTCAATTTTCATTTCGTTTCTCTGCCAAGCAAATTGCACAGTAATTTTTTTGTTTCTTATTTTTATTAGCTAATATTATGATTTTTGAAAAAGCTTGTTCAACAAATCTAGAGCGTTTTATAAACCTTTAATTTTGTATTTGAAAATGCTAAAACTTTGATCGCAGCGGCATCAAAGACTATGTATAAAATGATGTTTTTATTGCGTAAATGCAATTTGTTTTTTACGTTTTTATACACAACTTACTCGTATACTCTATATGTACAAATCCCTACGAATAGCAACTGCAAAATGCTACAATCCTAACAGTACTGTTCTATAAGTAGCTTTAAACAAATATCACCAGTTCACCACGTCACGTTGCTTATGATTTATTGAGTTCTTAATATAATTTCCAACTACCGTAGCTCTAGAGACGGCCACAACTCTTGGTACCATTAGTTACTTTGACTCCTTAGTTCTTCACTCGATTATCATTTAAAATTATGCATATTTGTGAGTCCAGTCTGTGGAGATCAAGTATATACATATACGCAATAAAAATAGGCGTCAAGATGCATTGTTGCTGCACTGCCACTGTTAATCGATGTTGTAAACCCACCCAGTCGCTCCCCTCCGCTGCTCGTAGAACACGAAAGTGTCGCTTGAATCAAATTCCGAATTTGTAAATTGCTTCTAGCTAAACTCTTAAGTAATCAATTCTCTCTGCAGCCAAAGCAATATATATATGGAATCTCAAATATTCATGGTTGGCTCCGCCATGGGATCCCTCTACTATATTTCCAATCAGATTCTAATTGTACAAAGTTGTCCACAGCTGAACACATTTATTCGACTTTTGATTTGTCTTGTTTTATTTAAATATTTTTAAAGTACAATTTTCGTTGTAATTAGTTTAATTTTGACAATAGTAAAATGCTCTTTTCACCTGATTAAATCACAAAAAAAAAAGGAAAAACAAACTAAAACTCAACTTGAGAGTCGAGCAGAGCCAAAGCGCACACATTTCCGAAAGCACAACAACCAAAGATCCATCAATTCAACATTTTCAGTAAGTTCACATGAGAGCTGAGATCAAGTAATGAATGGAGAAGAAGTAGAAGCAGACTTCTTTATATACATGATATACATCTGTGCATTTATTTCTTTTTCGTTAACAATTCAGTTCTGTCATCAAGTTCCAGTTGAGTTGTTCCACCTAAGTTAGTTCGTGTTTTTGCAAGTTTTATTTGAAGTTTTCTCTATTCGCGAATATCGTTATCGTTATCGTTATCGTTATCGTTATCGTACTCTCCTATCATATTCTCGAAAGCTGTTACACTTGGAATGCTTTAAATTGAAATCGTTAGCGTTTCGAATACTCATAGCATTAACAACAATTTACTTAACTAGTATTAAGAGTTTACGGATAAAAAACAAATTGCATTTGAACGTATTAAAACGATATTGATTTTTTATTAAAAACAATTAAAATTTATACTAAAATAGTTACAAATAGTTTTCACATCAAAATAATACGCGCGCCCCTTTCGGCGCCTTGTAAAATAACAACTTAAGCAACAAATAAATAAATTATTAAATACATTTTTAAGTCATTTACATTCTCTTCTCAACACTCCTCTTTCGAACTCAACTCAAAGCAAAGTTACTAATTTGTATTTGTATTTGTCAATGTATTTGTATATGTGTGTAAAGTGCTCGACTAGTGTCTGGGTACAAAAGTCAATGTGACGCGAGGGAAGGCAAGGGAACAGAGAAAAGAGACAGGGACAGAGAGAGAGAGAGAGGAGAAGACTTTTCGCTCTCTCCTGATCTGTCGAGCCTTGCCTCTCTCTCTCAATCACTATCTTTTCTATATATATACATGCCTACACATATACATACACACATATATCTATACATATATATAAATGTCTCTCTCTCTCCCCCACCCCGACTTGGTCTACATGTGAAACACTTTGGTTGTTGTTGTTGTTGTTGCAGGCACAATCGCACCCTCGCGTGATTTACCCGAATTAACCGCCGAGGATACAATCCGCATTATTCTATCGAACCTAAATTTAGTAGTGCCGGTCGTGGCGGCTCTGCTCGTCATAATCATAGCGATAATTGTTATTTGTATACTGCGTAGCAAAGGCAATCACCACAAAGGTATCTATAAGTATATCAAACTAATTACAAAATTTCTTTTCTTTTTTTTCGGTTCCACTATCGCTCTCTCTATCTCTCCACATACCCCCAAACACTTTACATTTTCCATACTCTAAATGTGTAAATACATACCTACCTATGTCTATATGCATTTATCTATATATACAACAAACCAAAAATATCTCGGCTATGCAACTGCCTATGCCTGCTGTCTGTTGTTGTATCTGATAAACGAATTGCATGCGCGTTTATTGTTCGTCTATCAAATCCAAAATCCGAAAACCGAATTAAAGGCACAATTGCGCCGCTCGATGATGGCACGGGTCATGGCAATGTCCACGCCCGCATACCGCTGCCCGCCTGGATGCCCGAATGGCTGGATCTGAACTTTATGGTGCCACTGATAGCCACCGTCGTCGTGGTTGCCGTTGGCATCTGTGTGGTCTGCGTGGCGCTCTCGCGCCGACGAGCCGACGATCTGCGCGGCGGCCAAAAGGACGTTTACTGTAGGTTTGCCCCTCAGCTTGCAGTAGCCAAGGAGCACAAGACTTTTTTCCTTATACAAATATATCTTCTATATATATATATATTATTTTCGACAAATTTTATTTCTGTTTTATATAGTATTGTTCCCACATGTTGAATATTGTTGCGCATTTTATTTGATTTACATTTTTCATTTTACAATTAACGCGCACAGTTTCAACCTGAGAACGCATTAATCTTAGACCGTCACTCAGCAAAGAAACTGGTAAAAACTTTTCACTATTCTGGAATGCTCAATGTCTAATAATCTTATCAAATATATATAGCATGATATATAATCTACTCAAGCTATGCCGACTACAGCTCACACAAACTCAAAGAAACACTCACCCAAAAAATAAAAACAAAACAAAAATACCAAAAGTTTCACAAAAATATACCAACAATATACCAAAAAAAAGGAATAAAATATATAATATTAAATGTGTTTTCTGTGTGTATATATATATAGTAAATTCACATATCTATTATACTCATATCATATGATACTCATAGAACTATCATCAATTTTCCATCTCCATCAAAAAATCAAATTGGAAAATTATTAAAAAGTAATTTTTTTACAGTTGTATAAATAAATATGTTGCGATGTCTTTTAGATTTGATTGATTCGAGATTCTATTCTATACGCCTTATGAGTTGTTATCCAAGTAAAATAACCTATCACACGATATACACGCAACACATATTTAACCAATACTAATATCCAGTGTTGTAAATACGTTTTGCTTACGCCATAAGCAACTTTCGAACTCCTCCAATCACAACAGACACAATTTCCCAGCTCAACTTTCTATCAACATTATTTTGCACATTTATCTTTTGTTCAAATGAAACCAAAACTAAGATGCTTTTTGAAATCGCAAATGAATAGAATAATGCTAAAGTAAAGTAAAGTGACGTCAAGTCGAGTAAAGTAAAGTAAATTCGAACTCGAAATTGAAATCATCTCTCATTTCATGTCATTATATCATGAACTTTTATATCGCTAACAAGTTGGTATATTTTGAAATTAAAAATCCAATTAATAACAATAATAATTATATTGAAACACCTCACGTAATTCCGTTTTTGCAATTGTAAACTTTGAGCTACTAATTAGCACTTTAGCGTGTTGAGATGCCGCACCAAAAACAAAAAAAAACAAAATCGAAAAATAAATTATTTTCAAAGCCAAATATTGTGAGTGACGGAAGAAAGCTGATTGAAAATGAAAACAGAAAACAGAAGTAAAGTATGCGAGTTGATCTTTGAGCAGCATTAAAGAGGAAAAGCATCTTCAGTGTTTCACTATTGAGTTCGCGATATCATGTATTAATTCTAGACGATGTAGTTTACAATCAGACAATGGGACCCGGCGCCACTCTGGACAAGCGTCGCCCGGACTTGAGGGACGAGCTCGGCTACATTGCCCCACCGAACCGCAAGCTGCCACCGGTGCCCGGCTCCAACTACAACACCTGCGACCGGATTAAGCGAGGTACAGTCATAAGTAAGCATCTAAATTTCCAATGCAACATTTATTAATGCCAGGACTATGCCAGCGAAGCACCAAATCTCCCTGGGGCACTCACTGCGCATTGGCTGAGGCTTATTTTTGTCTTCCATTTACTTTGCTCTCGAAAAGAAAGTGAAAAAAAAAAACAAAAAAAAAGAGAAAGAATATTTCATATTTTGCGTTGCTTTTGCATTCACAAAGAAACAATTAAGACCCAAAGGTCGTTAGCCACGCCCATTACACACGCACTCACCCACACACACACACACAAACACATCGCAACGCTTTCTCAGAACGAAATTCTCAAATGTCGCTTCTTAAAGTCGCTTCTTATGATTTTGGAACCCATCCGATCTGAAACCAAGTCTCGTATTATTAAATGTTGTGCTGAATTTAGATTTTACGTTTTAAATTTCTTATTTCACATTTAATTTTAACTTTTTTACCCCAAACATAACTCCAAATCCTCTCCTTTTCGGTTGCCGTTGACTCGATTCTTTAACTTTTCTGTTGACTCATCGTTGATGTTGTATGAATATTGGAAATTGAATAAAATATGAATACACCAATACAAACACACACACACTTACAAACCTGACAATATACACGAACCGGTTCAGGCCGCGGCGGTGTACGCTCGAATCACTCCACTTGGGACCCGCGCCGCAACCCGAACCTATACGAGGAGCTGAAAGCCCCGCCAGTACCCATGCACGGCATTGGCAATCACTATGGCCACGCCCATGGTACGCCCGAGTGCCACTATAGACATCCAGGTAGGAGGCCCCCTCCCTCCCCCTTTTGAGTTTGTAAGCCTTCTGATTTCAGTATGCAACTCCCACTACTACTAACACCTAACCCCAGGCCCCGTTAACTTCTTAATTGAGATTTATTTACGTTTAAGTCCACTAACCCTGCGAATAGTCTAACCCCGGTCGCATCGCGCTGACTCTCAGGTACTGCATAGTAAGTAAAGCAATTCGGGCCAGGCCAATCTCTCTGCCTCGTACTAAAACACTAAAACAAACAAACCAAGACACCCACAAAGCATCGCCCATGATTGAGCAGCTGTTGCTAATCGAACTCTCCTCTCGCCTAAGGCATGGAAGATGAAATCTGCCCTTATGCTACATTCCATCTGCTCGGCTTCCGCGAGGAAATGGATCCCACCAAGGCCATGAACTTCCAGACCTTCCCGCACCAGAATGGACACACTCCCGTACCCGGACATGCCGGCACCATGCTGCCCCCTGGCCATCCTGGACACGTACACTCCCGTTCCGGCTCTCAGTCCATGCCACGTGCCAATCGCTATCAGCGCAAGAACAGCCAAGGTGGACAGTCCTCGATCTATACTCCTGCACCCGAATACGATGATCCCGCTAACTGTGCCGAAGAAGATCAATATGTAAGATTATCTTATAAGCGTATTCCACAGATTACCTAACTGATTTCTTTTCTATCTGTTTCTCCAATCAATCAATCTCTCTGCTTCTCTTTCTCTCTCTTTTCCTGCTTTCTCTATATATCTATCGTTCCTTTACCTCCCTCTCATATCTTTTCTCTTTCTCACCCACTACTCTATCTTATCTTTCCTCTCGTTCTCATTACTCATCTGGCATCTCTCCTCTCACTACTCTTCCATCTCTCTCACTTTATCACTATCCTCTCCTTTTACTTATCTCCACTTTCTAACATGTCTTTACTTCCTTTTTCTTTCTCTCCCTATATCTATCTATCGCAATCTCTCACTATTTTCTTTCGATCTGTTCCTCTATTTTCTGTGACTTCTCCTCTTCTCATTATCTTTCTTCTTCCTCTTATGCTCCTCTCTCTCCCTTTCTCTCGCTCTCCACTTGAACTATCTCTGCTTCTCTCTTCTTGCTCTCTCTGTTTGACATCTCACAGCGTCGCTACACTCGCGTCAACTCTCAAGGCGGCAGCTTGTACTCTGGCCCCGGACCCGAATATGATGATCCCGCCAATTGCGCTCCTGAGGAGGATCAGTATGGCTCTCAGTATGGCGGTCCCTATGGACAGCCCTACGATCACTATGGATCTCGCGGCTCCATGGGCCGTCGCAGCATTGGTAAATACGCCAGAGAGAGAGAGGGTATTTGACTATTCGTTGATTCGTTGTATTCTTAACACGTCTTAGGCTCGGCACGCAATCCAGGCAACGGCTCACCTGAGCCACCACCACCACCACCACGTAATCACGACATGAGCAACTCCTCGTTCAACGACTCCAAGGAGAGCAATGAGATCTCAGAGGCCGAATGCGATCGCGATCATGGACCACGCGGCAACTATGGCGGTAAGTCTGAGTCCCCAGCCCCCCACATCTGATCCCCAATCGAATCGTAACCCCCAGCCTAAAACTCTATTGAAAGTGTATTCATTTTTAACACGAAAATTCGAAATGTTCTTAATTTCCCATTCTTTCAAAATTCGTTTTAACATTCGAATATTAATATCGATCAGAAGACGCCAATGATGGTGAGTGACGTGAACCTAAATCGCAAATCGCAGTTAACTTAAGTGTTTAGAGTGAATTTCAATTCAAGTTCAATCACAACTCACCTCATTCTTCGTCCTTATCGCTAGCGTAAGGCCCCTTCGATCTCACATCAGGAATGTGCTCATTCTTCATACTTCCTTCATTGTCATTCATGAACAGTTCCTTAAAGAGTTCGCAATAAATATTCATGCTGTGTTTTGCTAATATTTCAAAAGAATAAATATATATATATTTTTTAATATTTTTTTCTTTTCGTGTTAAAAATATTAATTTTGGTTTTGGTTGTTAAGTTTTAATCTGAATTGTTTTATGCACAATTAAATAACTTTCATTTCATTTCATAAGTCGCACCGACCACATTTGTTAAGGGGCTCCTTTCCAGCACCAATGTCAATGTTTTGTGTTTTGTACCTAATATCGGATCTAAGATTAATTTTAATTATGATTTGTCATAAATCTCTCATTTCATTCAATTTCATGTGTATAGAATTTCGCATGTGTCCGACTAGAAAACTCTTTTTTTTTATGGTTTTTAAGAACAGTAAGTTAGTCATATAAGCAGAAAAACTCTAGAAGAATATATGTTCTTCGATGTCAAAGGAATTTTCAATCATTTTTGCACGATCTTCTCACACTAGGTATAAGAAAAGTCTTATTTTAAATTTCATTTTGCGTTTTCTTTCTATTTTCTTTTACATTTTATGATATTTAAAACCAATTTACCATAAACAACTACTTTACGGTTGTTGGGGTTCTTAAATGATAATTTCTTATTATTAAACAAAAAACAAAAAATTATTATATAAAAACGAATAAACGAAAACAAACAGCTGTAAAAAGATCACCACAACCGAAAGATCAACGCACCACCGAAGAAATGCGTAAACTAATCGAGAGGTAAGAAAAGAGTATTGTATATAGCAACTATATTGAAACACATAACTATTATTGGTATAACCAATGCTCAGCTAAAATTGCACAGAACATTTGCCTCATTGAAGCCAATATCTAAATCCAACTTTGACTCTAACTAATTTCACTAGCGGAAATCATAATAATTACTAAATAGCTAATGGCCTAGAGCAGATTGAAATGATAAGAAATTGTTGTACTGTACTTTATGAACTCAAAGCCTTAGGTAGACTTATATAGTAGATGTCTGTGAACATTCTATAGAGTCTATTTCTTATATATTATATCATGGGAATATCGCTCCTTATAGCAATAAACTATTTTCTATATAGTATAATGGCAGGCAGAGCCCAGTTAGACAAGCTGTCTCTATAACTGCTTAGAGATATATAGCAAACGTATTTATAATGCTTGGTAGATTTATGTGTAAAGGTTGCCCAGCTAGTATTATATGAAGCCACAAAATTATGTAGATAGATTGCCTAGCTGAGATTGAATTGTCTAACTGGGTCTATGGCACGCTATGGAGTTATACATATAGGTTGCTTAGCTGAGAATCTATAAAGCTATGCAGTTGTATATAAATAGGTTGCCTTATTTGAAATACAGTAAATATTTGTAAATTTATATGTTGCCTAACAGATAGTAAATCGTCTATCTGGAAGCTATGTTGATAGTTTGCCTAATTGAGAGGAGGTCACACAGTGCCGCCAGTATGTTATCTTATATGTATAGCCACGTCTCTAATTAAGCACAACATACTTACTTCTACTGGTAACTATAATAAGATCTATGTGCTTAGAAACATAGAAAGTCTCTTCATTGACTCATTCATGTTGACATTTAACTTGCTTTATGAGCACCTCATATAGAACTTCGCAGCCTTTTCTGAGTAGCAAAAGTTTTCTAATCTGTTCTGAACCTTCTGAAAAGGATTACAAACTTAACTCTAAGCTCAGTTCCAAGCATAGACCTTCTATGCTGGTCTCATCAGAAAGCATAGCCTCAACCTGCCTTGCCGAGTTTATCCAATTAGCTTCCCTTTTCAATGGCTGAATATCTGTGCAATTTTTTAAGGTAACACGAAGAAGAACTCTTTGTACTGTAAGCAACTACTAACACTGATCATTTCTGTACTTTTTTTCATTAAACAAATAAATAATGATTTAATAACCCACTGACTCCGTAGTCGCAGGCAGTTGTAAGTTTCAAACTAAAAATCGAAGTTAAGTAATTCGCTTTTGCATGTTCTCTGGTCGCAGTTAATACTAAATGTGCAAGACGCATGCTTAAACCTAAACCCAAGTCCTTGTTTAATTGTATCGTTATTTATTGTCTTTTTGTATTATATTTGAGTTGTTTTTCCTTAATCTTTTTGTTGATTGACAGCAAATCACAGTTGAGTGTTTCCGAGTGTGCCACAAAAGCATTTATCATTTTGACAAACGAATTTCAATTACATAACTCCTTTATGTACACATATATATTAATCAACAGGCTTTAACTACTTAACACATATCTAAATACTTTATACTTGTGCCAGCTGCCACAAGCTGTCGCCACACAAAGCTCAGGCAATGCTTTTTGGTTGCAAGCCTACAAAACAGCTAAACAAAATAATATACTATATATACACTGTATACTATATATATTTATATATACCTTTGCTTTTATTGAAATTGTGTTTTTTATATAAAATAATTCACTCGCTACCCGCAGAAACGAAGCCGGCCCAAAACAACTCCAACTCCAACAAACAAATGGCGCAGGATTCACAGCCTACGATACTATGGCAGTGTAATTTGTAAGCTACTCTCAGTGGGCGTGGCATTTTAGCTTAGTGTTTCAAGTCAATGAAGTGCGTGGAAGTTGAATGACACAAACACACACACACACTTACACACATACAGGCACACACATGCACATGTGTGTGTGAGTGTGCCAAGTCTTATTTGAAGAAAACGAAAACATCACAGAAGTAAGCAAAGCGCATAAGGCGCATACATACAATATATACACATACACTTACACACACATATATATAAAATATTAACTATTTCAAAAATATTTATAAAGAAAAGTAAAAGCAAAACAAATACCAAATGCAAATCAATTTTGCATTTACATAAGAAAAAACAAAGAAAACAAAAGAAAAGAAAATGAAACGAAACAAAAAAATATTCAATTCAATTTGTATGTTTGCATAATTGAAATTAACTTTTAATATTGTATTTTTTAACTATAAGCAGAACTACCAAAATATCAAATTGGGTAACAACATCGACTCCAATACACAAGCACTTCATATACATATATATATATAAATATATATATATGTGTCTATGTACGTGCTCTTGTCTGTGTGTAGCTCATAAGTTTGTTTGTTTTTTTCGATTTGATTTCTTTGCCATCTATACATAGTCTCTAAGTCAAAGTCATAATATTATTGTAACTGATAGATATTGTTTAATGTTTTTTGATGGTCTGCAAATCCTATAGTTGCGAGCATAGACAGTTTGTTTGCCCGCCTAATCAGATTATTTGTGATCATAATTTTTAGCATTGCTAATCGACTCTCGATTTTCGATTCTATAATTATTTTTATCTATCATATATATGTTTAGCATTTTTTATAATTTATATGCTTCGTTTCAAAGCGCTTCCACAAGAATTGATAGGAAAGTTGTTCAAGCACAAATCGCAGAGATAAATCCATTTAGTCAGCAGCTCTAAATTGTATTATACAACAGATCCAAGCGCACCTTTGGCCTATTTATTTATTTACAGTTGGTATCTGCACAGCAAGCTTTAAGACGAACAAAACTCAAATTAAATTCTGTCAAATATTTATTTAAGATTTTAATTATTTTATTTAAGCTTTGCAACAAATTTGTTTGCCAAATAAACAAAACACTTTAATTGATTTTTATTTAATTTTTATTTCATTTAATTTTATATAATTTTCCAGCATCTTTTAGTGGTAAATTGTGCAGCTAGCCTGAAAACTCAAAGACTGAACGAACTATGCAAATTTATATGAATAACAGAACCGACATCTATGAATTTTACAAGAGTTAAACGAACCGAACGAACCGAACAACATTTGCTCAAGACTTAGAAATATCAAAGCATTTGAGGTGGCTCACAATTTACTCAGCTCCGTTTATCCATCGACTACTTTGATTAGGTATCATTTGATTCGTATCTCATTTCGCTTACTACTCAAAGACACTCTCTTATATGCCCTAATATCCTTAGCTATATCGATTTTATATATGAATGTAGTGTTGTGAACGATAATATTGCTTAAAACATATATATATTATGGGAAACCTATATGAATGTACTACAAATTTTGATGGTAAACGAACTACAAATATTGAATAGCGTTTAGACAAATGGCATTTAATTAATATTACAATTAATACGATATACAAGAAACCAATGAAGAAACTCACAAATTTTCAAGTAATTCAAATAGCAAAAAACACGAAAAGTTTTGGATTTCCAAATTTAAATAAAAAAACCAAAAATAACTTTTCGGCAAATCAAAATCAAAAATTAACTTTCGACATTCGCTAAACGAAAAAAAAAAAGAAAAAACTAAGCTAAGCAAATATTCAAAGTAAACTCATCCATTTTTCATATACATACATATATATCATATAACATATATATTTCATGCATATATTGGAACACGTCTGCCATAAAGCAGCAGAGCTTGCTTTTTATGTTGCTTGCAAAAGACATCAAATAATAAATAATCTATAAGCCCAATTTGTCATTATTTGGCATAAAGCATGCATAAAAACATGAATTAAAATAATTTTCTACTTAACATTACTTAAAACGCATAAATCAAAATTAAATTCCATTTGCATTTAAGCGAAAACAAAAAAAAAAAAAACAAATGATGAAAACATTCAACTTCAACGCACATCAAATTGAGAAAACTAAGCGAAATTCAAATGAAAATAAAAATGAAAAGATTTCAAATATGAAACATTTATAGATTAAGGCAAGGCAGTTTAAACGCATACTAATCACTCGCTCCTTCTTAGCCGATCAAATATTACTCGTATATATACACATATATATTATAGTATGGGCAGCGATGCAAATATCCAAAGATTAAAACTCGTAAAACCTAAACGAATACTTCAAATATGTGTATTACTAATTACAAATTATGAAAAACATATATATATGTATTAACTATATATTAATATTGAATGTATTGAATTGACAAGCTACACAACACACACACACCCAGACACAGACATAGACTCCTTCACACACAGCTCCAATCTCTATAGCACTAAAGACATTTCAAATACTCGAAGAAAGAAATCCCTTTTGACTACAATAATAACCAAAGTACTTAACACACATATACAACACTCTCTACATACACACACGCAGTTACACACTTTAAGCAAGCGAATATAAATTTGTCTGTTTCAGTGTCATAAAATTCAAGCAAATCAACAACAAAAAACTAAATAAATGCCAATATATGTTGGATAAAAAAAAACAATTGATGCTTTTGTTCTCTTTGATCAATTTCTAGTAGTAGTCATATAGACAGACATTTTGCAAAAATATCTCTATATATATATGCGAATCTTCCATGCCTCCTTCTTATAATTTATAATCGGATTTGAACATTTTATATTTTAAGTTTTTATTTTTATATTTTTAAAAACATATACCACTCATATTATTAGACGGAATTCCCCGCAAGCCCGAGTCAACTCAGCGAAACACTGATAACACCTCGTCTTGCCTCAGCAAGCGAACAAAGTAGGTAATAAGTTTATCAGCTCACGTACATATATTTCCCCCTATGTAAGTCCCCTTGCTGTACAAAAAAGTACCACAACAGCAGTGGCAGCGCCTGGAAGACGTTGCTATAAAAGCAGTTTCAACTCAATTGAACAGCATCAATCAAACATTGTCAATCAAACCAAAATGAAGTTCACAATTATTTTTCTGCTGCTCTCGATGTGCGCCATGGCACTGGCTGGCTACGAGAGGCCGCCATATCTGCCCAGGCCCACCTTTAGGCCTGTTCGAATTGTACGAGAGGCTGGCTATGAGCGTCCTCCATACCTGCCGAGACCCACCTTCAGGCCGGTTCACCGATTTGTACGAGAGGCTGGCTATGAGCGCCCACCATATCTACCTAGGCCCACGTTCAGACCTATTCACCGGGTGGTACGAGAGGCACTACCAGCAGCTGAGCAGCTGTGGGCGGATGCCCCGCAGTTCTAGACTTGGGATGCAGCAGCCAGAGACATTTCCGATATGTTGAACATTGTATGCCATAACTGTAATAAAAAACCATTGTTTATCAAATTAGCCATAATCGAAAATAAATACATTTGTATGGTTAGTCAATACACATGAAAACCATTATTTTTACATTGGGGTTGCTGCCCTAGCTAAAACAATTGAGTTGCCATAACTTAAAAATTTTGAATTTTCGCTATAAATATTTATTATTTACACAAATGATTTCATTAATTTAACTCATTTCTCAAATTCCCTAATCAAATTTCAGAAGTTGTGCATGCATAAAGATAAAGATAAAGTAATAAATGTTAATAATGTTAAATGTATTTAATAACAGCTATAAATATATAGCAACTGCAAACGTTTTTCATTTGAATTCTGCTAAAGCGCCATCTATATGTCGAATTCAACAATAGTAAAATGAGCTAAATTGGTACTGAACTACACTTAATTTCCCCTATGCTTGCATAAAGCCTGTGTCGCAGCTAAATCAATATTCGTAAACCCAGTATTAAGTGCCTTTCGCAGGAAATTTCTCATTTTGTTTTTGTATTTTTTATGTAATCAATTTACAATAGAAAGACTTGAAGAAAAAGCAACAAAATAAATATAAAATATATGAATATAAAGTGTCTTTATAAAGGGATAGTCAGAGCTTCTCTACCAAATTGAATTAATAGTAAATTCATGCTAACATTACAAGATAGTTTCGCCTCGAAGTACCTATTGAACAATGCCAACGTTGCTGCAAATTGATAAAATATTAACCTATTAGCCAGAGAAATACACACGCGAAAGGAACGTGAAATCCAAAATATTTGATTATCCGGCAATTTAATAATGCAAACAGACCATGTCCCCGACCCCAAGCATGGCCAGGAGTGGGAACACTTTTAACAAGCCACGAATGCAAACAATACTCTGCTCATGGAAAGGGCGAGCAATGGGATTGGGTGTGTCCTTATGCCGCAGCGAGGCGAAAAGTTCAACAGGCTGCTCCACTAAATCAACAAAGAGAAAACCGCAAAATGCCGATAAGAGCCGTCGCAGGGAAACCGGAGCGGCCAGCCGGGCGGGCCAGGAAGCCAACTGACCCCCACATGGCACATAGCACTCGGAACGGAGCAGCCGCTGGGACTGGACGGAGACACACCAGCAAAACAAACAATTGGTTTACATAAAAATGAAGGGATGGCGGGAGCCGGGCGACACCCGACGGGGGCTCGTTGGGGGCACTCGGCCACTTTACGGGCTTCAGCTGTCGCAGGAGACGTTTGTTGCTATTTAGCTGGCCCAAACAAGCGGCAGCCGGGCGCTAGATGCAGCCCAAAATGGATATGCGTTGACAACAGTCCGTAATAATAATAGTTGTTGTTGCTGTTGTTGTTGTCGTCCTGCCGAATGCACGCTGAACATGCAAGGGGAGTCAGGCGAAGCTTATCGAGTGCCCAGCAGTGGGCGGGGCAACGGGATGAGTTTGCGGGGAGAGGGCCATAGAAACTATGTCAACGTTGCTCCATAGCTAACTCAATGGGGTTGGTCTGTGCTGTGCTGGTTTCTGCTGCTTCTTCGCCAGCGCTGTCGGCAAGTTTCCACAGTTTGGCGTCATGCAATCTAAAAAGCTCACAATACACACAATATGCATTATATAATTATAGCAGATAACGCCGACCACGAGTCCCATTCCCATTCGGCTAAGGCCTGCTCCGTTTGCTGTTGTGGCAGAATATAGACTCGAAGCAATATATTTTGTGATCAAGGTTGCAAATTGACAATTGATGACTGGCCCGAATACCGAAATGAACTATTGACAAATGGTTTGACTCAGCTTTTAAAGAAGAAACCTAAAATACAACATAAATTTATGCCATTAGATTAAAAGTTAAATGCATTTATCTCACATATTATGAAGCTTCATAAATATGAAATAGCAAACATGAAATCTGTGTTTAGACTCCAGAACTGAAAAACTTTTGCAATCTTGCCTTTAATAAGTTTAATAACAAAACCAATGTCAACATAACAGTGCTTAAAGTTTGCCATTATAAGCTAGACTGAACAAAAAAAATATTGAATCATTGACTTTATGCGTTAGCCAAATATATTATTAAATAAACTTTATGAACTATATTTTGGACTGCAGAAAATATTTAATACCGAACATATATAATATAGAACTCTCAGCTGAACTCGACTCCACTCTTATATCTCATGCTCAGAGGTCTAGATATGCTAAAGAAATCTGCTAGAAAAATTATTAAATTTATTTGTCAGTCAGCCTATCTGGCCTATCTGGACCACACTCCAGACCTACCCAACAGGGCGATTTAGCACCATATTTCTTACACATATAACTTACCTTAGTATAAGCCTAAATATTACCAGCAACTGCTTCATTTATTGAGCTGTAAAAGTACTTGAAAAGAAAGACAATTCAGAAGCAGAGGCATCTGAAAACTTAAACAGAATTTCTCTGCTGAGTGTAGACAGCTAAAACTGATATAAATAAAACAGTATTGTACCAAAAATGCATAAGATATAAGTGAAATATATTTTGTAGCAATTAAATATATAAATATATTAACGACTATTTGTCACTTCTTTAGAGCCGCAATTGACAGACACAACAACAGCTTTTATTGTCTCAAATAAGTGTCAATAATTTGGAGGGCAATTAATTCAGAGTGGAACCGGAGAGGTATTCGCTCGCAGCCATAAAAGTTATGTTTTTAATGACTTTGGCAAATAAATTAACGCACATTTAAGTGAAAACAAAGGCAATCACATAAAACTGAAACTCAGAGCCGAGCGATGCTCGAGCTCGAAGCTGCTCGAGACCTGAGCTCTTTCGACTGGCAACTGTTGAGGCAGAAAGCCAAAAACTCCATTTGCTTTGGCTCATTTCAGCTGCTCGTGCTGCATTCGGGTCTAGGGTAATTAAAGTTTATCTACACTCATTTGGCGTGTTTGTTTTGTCTACCCATAAACCTACTTTACGGCCAAATAAGTTAATAAACTGTTTGCTGTTACCTGTTTGCTATTTGCTATTTGCTGTTTGCTGTGGCTTTGCTGCTTTTTGTTTGCCGTATCGATTTTCTATTTTACTTAATGCTTCCAAATTCCAAAGAAGCTCACAAAGCAAACAGCAAAACATTTTTCAAATTTAGCTCAAATATAAATAAGTTTAGATATATTCAAATTGTATCTTAAATTTGACTTTTCCATGGAATTTCCTCATTTAACTTTGAAATTTATAATTGACGCTCATCTGACATAACATGGCCTCGACTAGGCTTCTGCTTATCATGTTTGCCATGAAATTGCAACTAATTTTCTGGTCTTAAGAGTAGGCTTATATATAGAGCCCGATTTCTTCTTGTTTTGATTAGGCAAATGAAGAAATTTTAAATGTTTTGTGAAATTTTAATCAAATGTCAATAAACCAAACGAAATAGTAAATTGGAAATTTAACTGTTTTGCTTGGGAGTTTCCTTCAAGTGTTTTAGTAAATTTATTCTGAGACCTACACCTAGACTTCAATAGATCAAAATTATTTCTAGTGGCTCACATTAAAATAAAACTATAATCTATAGAAACAGTTGAGAGTGTTGTGTTATCATTCTGAATTGGCTTAAGATTAGACCTAAATACTGCCAAGCATAAATAAAAAAATTTAAAAATAAATTATCAAAAAAAAAAATATATAAATGTAAAAAATATATATTATATATACTAAAAATATTATATAATATATAATAAAAATATATTAAATTTAAAAAATAATAATAGAGCAAAATGATATATTAACAATTTTAATTTACAAAAAAATCACTCAAAATATTCAACAAATTTATATTTATATTAAATATTAAGTTAAATACTAAATTAGATTATATTTAATTTTATATTAGATTTTATTTAAATATATATATTATCTGACTTATAAAATAGGAGCAGTGTTGCTAAGTCACTTTGATATACGACGCGTAGATACGACTTAAAAGTTCTAAAGAGTATCGAAAGTGTGGAAATTATTTGAGGACACAAATCATGGCCTCCAAACAGTTGTTATTGCTGTTGTTTGTCTGGCTCGCTGGGCTTTTGTCTATTTTCGAAACAGCAAACAAATTATGAGAATGAAAACAAGCGACTCACACCCACAGTCGTGTACACATTCGTAAGTGTATATTTGGTGTGCGTGTGTGTGTGTGTGTCGGCTTGTCCTATCTATAGAATTGCTTAAGTATTTTGTGATTTTTCTTAATCATCATAAATTTGAGTTAGTTTTACCGAGACATTTGGCAGTTGGCCACCAACGCGACAAGAACTTTCCCAACGACGGAAACATCAATAAATTAGAAATGTTAAACTCAACGTTATTTGGGTGGGCGGCTGCCCAGGGGCAGGCTGCGGGGCCAGTTGGGGCCTCGTTGCGGGTGCTCGGCCCCCAAAACTTATTGTCTGCGTGTTGCGGCATCGACATTGCTGTGCGTCTCCTCGCTGCTTGCCAGTTGCCATAATTCTAAACATTTAATGGCCGCCAACTGATGCGACTATGCCATTGCCCAAGCCCTGAGTTATGTCGCTGCTGACTGTCCAAGGCAAGCAGTGGGCGTGCCACACCCTCAACTTAGCCCAAGTTGCAAATGCATGGAGGGTGGCAGTGCGCGGTGCGTGATGCGCGGATGCTGCGCATGTCGCAAAATCTGTGAAAGGGATGCACAGCCAAGGGATGTTCAGTTGCCTATGTAAATGAGTGGGTTTTGATAGCGGACATTTTGTATTTAATTTTGGCATCAACCACCAATTGCCTTATTCCCCCAATGACTGAAGTTAAGCTTGACAGATAGATGAGGTCTAAGTGGAGCAACTGTGGTTGAATTCTAGTTTACTGTTTAGTCAGTCAGTCAGCACAAATAGTTAAGTAGCAGATGTGGCTATGGCTGTCAAATAGGAGAAGGTTAGTCTTCTTCTCTTAGCTTATATCTAGTGTCACTGACTAATTGCTGAACAACCATCAGACAAAAAACTAGCAGCTGACAGTTAAATATATTATAGATAATTGATATACTGAGCTAATATTG